GCTGGTGGGAATGCAGCTTGGTGCAGCCGCTGTGGAAAACAATATGGATTCTTTAAAAAACTGAAAATAGACTTACCATATGATCCAGCAATTCCACTTCTGGGCGTATATCCAGAGGGAACTCTAATCCGAAAAGACACACGCACCCCAGTGTTGACAGCAGCACTATTTACAATCACCAAGACATGGAAGCCACCTAAGTGTCCATCGACAGACTGGATAAAGAAGTGGTGGTATATATATACCGTGGAATACTGCTCAGCCACGAAAAAGGATGGTGGCATTTGCAGCAGCCTGGATGGACCTGGACATCGTCATACTGAGTGAGGTTAGCCAGACATAGAAAAGTACCATATGATGTCATGTATATGTGGAATCTAAAAGAAAAAAAGAAAAGGAAAAGACACGAATGAACGTATTTGCAAAACAGAAACAGACTTACAGATGAAGAAAACACACTTGTGGTTACCAGGGGGAGAGAGGAGGTGGGGGTTAAGTTGGGAGTTTGGGGTTTGTAGACACTAACTGCTATATAGAAAATAGGTAAACAGCAAGGTCCTGCTGCACAGCACAGAAAACTACATTCAGCACCTTGTGATAGCCTATAGTGAAAAGGAACATGAAAAGGATTATGTACGTGCACGTGCACATGCGGGTGTGACTGAGTGACTGTGCTGTACACCAGAAACTGATGCACCATTGTAAGCCGATTATACTTCAATAAAAATAAAAACTTCAAAAAGGAAAACAAAAGTCCTTACTGGTTAGATGTACAGACTGAGATCGAATGATGCGTTGTCTGATATTTAATTAAAAACACGCCAGAGCGCACGGAGGCGGGCTGAGTACGAGCGTATCCCGGACAAGACTGGCTGAGAGTCGAAAGGCTGGGGGGCGGCGCGTTCAGCTGCTTCCTCCTGGCGGGTGTTTGCGCGTGTCCGTAAGGAAAAGCTCAGTAAGGCGCTGGGCGGAGGCTGCATTCTAGCCTTGAGGTGCCTGCCACAGAGTGAGTGTAGAGAGCACGGGGGTGCCGGCCTCCGAGTGAATGTTGGTCGTCTCTGCTGAACGCGGAGGTGGCGGGCCCCTGGAGCACAGTGACGGTCCTGAGGTGCCCTCACGTCGAGCTGCCCCCCGAGTCCCGTGCACTTTCCCCCAAGGCCTGTCGTCTGAGTCAGTCTCATGGTGACATGTCGGAAACTTCAGCAGCTCTTTTTGAAGTAGTGTCAGTGGATGGAGTGATGGCTGTATTTTTTTTTTAAACAAAGAAGCCTTGAAAACTGTTGTTGCTTATTATACAATCCCTATGGCAGAGTCTCTGGAAATAAGCACTTTAAAATCTCGCTTTAAAGGAGTTTTCCTCCTATGGTTCGATACCCTGTGTGTTGCCTGGAGGACTGGGATGACTGAGCCGAGCAGGAGGAGGCCAGTTAATTCTCATTATTAGGGATGCCTTGAGATGCCTCATTAAATGGAGGCCTTGAGATCATTTTACTACCCTCGCCTTTTATGGGTGAAGACGTGGAGAATTTGTGGTCAAGTTCCTGCCTTTTCTACGTTCCCCAGCTCTGAGAGCACCTGGCCGCTGCGGGAACCGTCCGCCGGAGGACGCCCCGGGGGCTGAGCCCCGGGGTTCTCTGTTACTGACAGTCTGCACCCTCCCTGTCAAATTTCCACTGCGTCTTCAAACTCAGAAGTTTGAGAGTTTAAAAAAATATTTCACCCATCAAAATAAGATAAAATTTCTTTTGATTGGGGCATTCTGGATTATGTTGCAGAAAACCAGCAGCATCTGAGTCATTTTATAATTGAATAGACCTGTTTGCTGAAGGGCTTCCTGTCGGCTGATCTGCTGAAAACGCGAGGGTCTGTTCTGGGACACTCTAACCCTTGGCTTCCGCGTTATGTTTTTATTTCCAAAAGTCTAAAGAGAGTTTGAGTTTGTATGGATGTGTAAGTCAGCACTTCATTTCAGTTTGTAATCTAATTCCACACTTACGAGTCTTGGATTCAACCTGTAAACACATCAGCCGCAGATGGAGAGTCTGGCTTCTGCCCTGCTTCTCGGGGACTGTAGCCTTGGTCACCCATTTGTGTTTGTCATTTAACTTACATCCGCTGGTTTGATAATCAGATGCGGAAGAACATGTTCCTGGTTCAGCTGCACTGTCTCTGGGACAGCACGTTCGGATCTCAAACGTAAACTTCCCAGGACGAGGTCCCGATTGTCCCCTCTGATGGCCTTGAACCCGACAAGCCCTGTGCTGCCTCCGAGCCTCAGCACGTGCCCTTCCCCGACCCAGGCGCTCTTCCACCCGCACATGCTCACCTGCTCGTCCTCCGCGCTCAGCGTACGCGCCGCGGCCTCAGAAGGGCCTTTCCTGGTGTCCGTCCAACGGGGGCCGCTGTCTCACTGGTCTCGCCACATCTGTGTCCTTCTTCGTGGTCCTTAGTGGCACTCTCTGTCGTTCTCTGTCACTTATTTGTTGAAACTGTTGGCATCGCTGGGCTGTGCTTGGCCGGGCGGGTGTGTGTCCTTCTGTTCGCCCTGAGACTCGGTTCTGGATGCGGCACAGACGTCTCTCCCCACGTATCTGTCGTGTGAGCGACCAAAGGGTGACACACGCACTTCTAGCTTGTTTGTTTGGGGGCAGGTTACCCTCAGAGACTGACTGCTTTTGCCAGCAATTTACTTAACCCAGGTTCACTGGGAACGGAAGTAATCCCGTAAGTCAATAGCATGCAAGGTAACGTCGCTTAAAAACCCAGGAAAGAAGGGACACCTTCCAAACAAGTGAGGCGACTCACACGTCGTTCCAGGCACGCGGACGTGAAAGAGGGGAAGTGCAGGTTCAGTCGCGGGGAGCCTTCCTGGGAGGTGGTCCTCAGGAGAGGCAGCCTGGCCAACCATGCACTGGTGCCCAGCTGCCACCAAACCGGAGTCCTCGTGGCTGCAGCTGTGGCCAGAGCCTGTGGCTGGATCGACGTCTTCCCTGTGGTGGGAGATAGTGCCCCGGGACTGCGGCTCCCGGGAGAGCTGCCTGTGCGTGACAGGGCTCCGGGGAGGAATGGACTCCAGGTCAGTGACGCCCCAGAGAGTCAGCCCCCTGGGGGACTACCACACTGGGGCACAGGCACGGCCTCCCGTGGTCGTCAGAGGGGGCCGTCCCAGTCGGTCATGGCAGCCGTGTGCCACGATCCATGACCTGGCCACTCACCCTACCACACCCAAGAGGCCAAAGCCACTGTGACTGGTGTCTGTCCCCATTTGTTCCCCTGAAACTGTCTGCTGTGGTAGCCAAGGACCCCCAGGGACACGTCCGGTGGGTCACTTGAAATCAGGACGTAAGTGACCCCTCACTTAAGACTGCACACACCGCCTCACTCACGCCTTCTTAAACTTCCCCTCCGGCCTCAGTGATTTCATCTGCTCCCTCTTGTTGAGTTTGCGTTTTGGAAATACTTTTAAGGCTGTGATGTCAGGAGTAAGCCAGGCGTGCCTGAGGCTGGGGGCGCAGAGACCCGCTGGCGGATGGCTGGGGCCGCTCCACTGGCTTGCGCGCTGACAAGGCCCCTGGCAGGCAAGGTGGCCGGTGTGGAGGGGGCACCAGGCAGAGACACTCCAGGGAAAAGGCTGAGTTGAAAATCGATTGCAGCCAAGGCTAACGATTCCTAGAGCACTGACCTCTGATCGTGAGACGGCGGAGGCTCACCTCGCAGGTGATTCAGCATAGAGCACCAGGCGGCCCTGCAGCGTCCGAGTGCAGCCGCATCCTCTCCCCCAGCTGCCCAGGACCCGGCTGGCTTTCTGCGGCGAGTAACTGACTAACAGCCGCAGCCTCAGAACAAGCCGGTGAGGACTCCACGGCCCGTGCCTTTAAAACTGCCACCTGAAGACAAGCGTACAGCCTCCAAGTTGCAAGTTACGCTTTATTCGGGGGCCTTACTGCGGACTCGAGCCCAGGAGACAGCCTCTCGGGAGGGGCTGCTCTGGGGAGGCGAGGTGCGTGGGGTGGGTACGTAGTTTTACTGAAAAAAATGTAGTCGAACATCAAAAACTTACTGCTGATCACAAAAACAGCATCTCAAGTTAACAATTTTAGTGCTTTTCTGTGTATGGGGAGACGCAAGAGTCTCAGCTCGCTGACATCACTGCGTTCTGCGCACCTGGACGTTTAGGGCCAGTGTCCTCCTCTTTCTCCATCCTGAGTCCCCGCGGGGGCACGGCCCGGGGCTGCAGTGGCTGACACCTTGAAGGCAGGCAGCGTTCGTTCTTTACTAGAATGGCAGGCAACAGTTTTTTGTCCACAAAACCCAGATACGCCAGTTTTGGGACATGTATTTATTTTGCAGAGAGAGATGTCAGGCAGGTGACGACGGGGCAGTTACGACTGTGGAGCAGCCAGGCGTCTGCAGGCTGCGCGGCGCTGCGGCCGCGTGGCGTGGAGATCCTCCTCTGCCCGGGGCTCTGCTTCATGATGGGCATTTTGTTTGGAATTGGAGCCGCTCAGATTTCTTTCCCTTTGCTTGGTGAAACCCAGGTGCATTTCTTGCTGAAATTTCCTTTGCTTCTCTTAGCATAGGATGTCACTGAAGAAATAGTTTAGCAAGATCAAACGTTGATGCTTTTGAAAAAGAAACCTTTAGTTCCACCAGTTATAATTACACCGGTGTCCGAGTTGGAGCCCTTTTGCCTTATGAACATCTGAGCCGTCCTGGGAAGGTCAGGCCACCCGGGCTGCCTGGCCGGGTAACTTACAGGTGGGACCTCTGTGTTTCTCTGCTGGTCTGACTTGTTGGTCAGGGCTTGGCAGACTCTCCCTCTGAAGGGCCGGGGAGTGAACTCCGTGGTTTTTGGGGCCGTATGGTGTCTGTCTCAGTGACTCGGCAAAGCTGTTGACTGAACCCCACAGGCAGTCTGTGCGCGCGGTGGGGCTGTGTCCCAGCAAAGCTCGTTACAGAGGAGGTGGCCGCCGGACTGGCCCGGGGCTGTGCTCCGCCAGCCGCTGCTCAGTGTTATGAATGCAGCCCTGGCACAGAATGACCATTTTTTTGTTTGTTTGTTTGTTTACTCTTTTTTACTAGGAAACCATCCTGGTGGAATGCAGTCGGCCTGGTCGCCCTTTGATTAATAAGACATACACCTTTGAAAGGTGAGTGCCTTTCACGGTGGCAGGTGAGGCAAAGTAACGCAAATGTAAGCGCTGTGTCAGGGTTCGGCTGGTCAGAGGTACACGTTGTCCTGTCATTTTGGCCAATCGCAAAGGGGCAGAGGCAGTTTGGTGGAGAAAGGACAGTGTTTCAGCAAGTGGTGCTGGAGCAGTCGGACGTCCAGAGGCAAAAGTGGAGTGAAGGGTCACCCACATGTCATGCCTTTTGCAAAAATTAACTGAGATGAAAACTAGACCTAATGTGAAGTCTCACACCATTTCATTTTTAGAAGCTGATGCAGAAGAAAGTCTTTGTGACCTTGGGTTAAGCACAGAATTCTGAGAAACACCACCAAAAGCATAATCCATGAAAGAATCAAAATGAAAAGCCCTCGTTTTGTTTATGGTATTACCTGGAGTATGAGAAGACGAGCCACACACAGGAAGGAGTGTTTGGAAGTCACACGGTTTATGAAGGACCGGACCCAGAGGATACGGAGCTCTCCTGAAAACAAGGGCATGAAGCACCACAAGTCCCTGCACCGACGCCGGGGCAGAGAGCGAGGCCAAGATGGTGGCTGTTTGGAAACTTCGGGAAATGCCCCTGAGAGCACAAGATGCAGCTACACGTGTAGCAGAGTGGCTGAAAAACCCCAAAGCGGACGGGCCGAGTGCGCCCGCCCTTCAGGCGGTGCGGTGAACACAGACCGCCTGCCCGGCAGCCCCCCCCCCACCCCGGGTGTTTCCCCAGCACGCTCACGCCGCCTCCCGTGTAACTGGCAAAAACTGGGAGCAACGCAAGTGTCCTTCAGTGGGAGGGTGTCTGGGGGCTGCAGCCTGCAGGGAGGACGGACTGTGGCCTCAGGCAAAGGAAGCCAGACCTGAAGTTCATTCGGATTCGTCCCTTTACAGAAATTTTGGAAAAGACAAAACTCTAGCAGCTACCAGCGGTGGGGCTGGGAGGGGGTGGTCTGCAAGGAGGCTGCACGAAGGAATTCTGGGTGAGGACGGAGCGCCAGCAAGAAGACTGAGCCCTAAGTACTGTCACGGAAATAAAGGGCACATCTAGAAGCTGAGAGCTGCTTTATTTGGTGGGCCTCCTGGGGACTCGAGCCCAGGACACAGCCTCTCGTGGTAGAGACAGTTCTGCCCAGCAAGGGAGGGGCCAGGATATATAGGAGTTTCTGGCAACAAAGGCCAGGTAGTTGGAACATCAAAAGATTAGTGTTAATGATAGAAGTCCAGACATCTCAGGTTAAGGGATTTAGCACTTTTCTGTGTGTGGGAAGGTGCAAAGGTCTGGGCCCCTGAAATCACTCCTTTGACGTGCACCTGGCCGTCCAGGGCCAGCGCCCTGTTCTTCCCCATCCTGAGTCCCCTCAGGGAGCACCGCTGGGGCCACCACAGAGCCGGGCTGCCTGCTGGTCTGCATGCTGAGTTCCCTCTGCTCGCGGTTGGGGGCGACGGTCGCCGCTGATGATGTGACGGCCGCAGCGTCCTTGTTGACTGGCATGGCTTGTTTTTGTTCACAGAACCTTTTAAAATACCTTGCATTTTTCAAAGAGACTTTAAGATACCTATCAGTCAGTTGTGATATGTGGACCCTGATTCAATCAGACAAACTGCTAAACCATTTTTAAAAAGCCAGTGCTGGAGTCATTCTAGTAACATCAAAGTAGATTTCAGATTAATAACGTTACCAAGGAGCAAGAGGGTCGCATCCTAACAGCCCGGGGACCAGTATTAAGAGTAGTAACAGCCCAGAGGGAATCACAGAGCTTCAGCGCACATGGAACAAGTGCTGACTGGGCCCAGGAGACAAGCGAACAAACCCCCAGCCGTAGTCGGAGGTGGGAGCCCTCCTCTCTCAGCAACTGACGGACGAGAGCGCGGGAGCCAGTAAGGACACGTGTGCTCAGCAGGCAGGCTCGACTCACGCTGAGAGGTCACCAGCCCCTCCGACGTGGCGAGGGGCCCGCGGGTGACCCCCATGTCTTGCGTGCTGTCTGGGCAGAGCCCTCGGGCCTTTAGGTCGGAAGAGAGACGGCGTCTCCACGCGGCCGCCCGGCTGGGTGAGGCTCCGCGTCTTCTCACGCGGTGGGGCCAGCTCCGTGCACCTCCAGCTGTTTTTCTGTAACAGCGTGGAAAGCACTTCTCATGCAAGGACTAGGTAAGAAACTCGAGGACGTGCACGCCGCGCTCTGTGTACTGTGCTCATTTTTTCTTCTCCATTTTGGGGGCACTTTGTGTGCTGGGGTAGCAACCTTTTGTCCGTGATGTAAGCTGCAGCTACTTTTCCCAGGTTGTCATCTGTGGTTTTTCTTTGCTTGTGATATCTTTTAGCCGTGCAAAAAAAAGTTCTTTTCCCTTTAACACAGTCATAGTTAGCAAGGCTACCAGGTGGTAGGTGCATGTAGCCACGTGTGTCAGTGCTCCGTGGATTGATTTTTCACAGGAGCCAAATCTCATGACCCGTTTGGAGTGTGTCCTTGAGTACAGGCTGAGGAAGGCACCCAGCTTTATTTTTCCCCCAAATCTGTCCAGTTACCTCAACCCCACTTGTTAAAACATGTCTTTTCCCCACTAATCTGGGGAGCCCCCTTTCTCGTGAGGGCTTCGCCGCGTGCACGCCTATCAGTTTCCGGTTCTCTCTCCTGCCCGTGGCCGGTCCGTCCGCCCACGTGTCCTGGCCACGCTGCCCCTGCACCGGCCTCGCAGCTGCCTGAGACCCACCCTGCTGCCCTTTCCCCCAGGGGCTTCCTCTGTGCTCTGCTCCTTTGTTTTGCTAAGTACATTTTAAAATCAAATTGTCTAGCACCAGAAAGATACTGATAGTATATGCGGTATTTTAGGGGAGGATTCAGGTCAGTTTATAAACTACCTTTGGGAAAACTGTCACTTCACGGAGCTGAGTCTTCGTATCCAAGAACACAGTACTGCCTGTCTTTTCACTTACTCATTTAATTCTACGTCTTTCAGGGTTTTTTCCCCTGGTTTTCTTCATAAAGGATTTAGACACTTTTTTCCCTAGCAGGTGGAGGACCTGTTCCCCATCTCATTGGTGAACTCATTTTGTTTGCATGTGAAAGCTGCTGATTTTGTACGTGAATTTTGCATCCTGCTACTTGACTAAATTCTCCTATTGGTTTCGTAGTTTCCTTCATATTTGGTTTTGGACTGCCCCGAGGCCCGGCCATATGACCTCCAAGTAGCCAGTCGGACCTTCTGTTCTGTGACTTTCACGTCACCGTGTTGGCTAATGGTGACTCCACACGATGTGGAGCAGCGCGGCAGGTGGCAGGACTTGGATCTTTTCCTTCATGTTGAGAAAGGCTTCGGTGTCTCTTTAAGTAAGATGTTCACGAAGCCTGGAATATTTACTGCTCAGAAGTTCGCTGTCCCTGTGTGTCTCATACATTCATTCAGCTGTGATGATTTTTAAAAGCTGATGGGAAGAATAAGCGCATTGGAGAACAGGAGAGACGCGGGCCCTCCCCTCTCCTGGATGATGCTAAGGAAGTGCTGTTCATTTTTCCAAGTGTGACAGTGGTAACCTGGTGATGATTTTTACAAGAGTCACATCCTTTAGAGATATGTAGCAGACATTCACGGATGACCTGGGCGTGAGGTCGGTTCCAGGGCTTCCGGGTGAGGTCAGGAGGTGGTGGCCGATTACAGGAGCCGGTGGTGCACAGCTGGACTCATTCACTGTCCTTCCTGCTTTGGTATTTTGGTGGGACTTTTTGGGTGAAAAGTTACAGTATTTAAGAGCTCAGCTCCATCCCACTTGCTCTAAATGCCCTCTAGCCGCGTGTGGAGCAGCGTTTTGTAAGGAAAGCCCGGAGGCTTGATGTCAGTCCTGCTTCTAGAGATGAGCTGGATCTCCGGGCTGTCAGGACACATTTTGAAGATGACAGGAGAGAAAAATTCGGTTCCAGCTGAACAAAAACCTGCAATTCAGAAAGCTGAGCTTGAATCAAAGCACATTCAACTGGAACGTGACTAACCACCAGCTTTGTCAGAGCTGGGCAGCGTGGCCCGGCCCCGGCCCCGGCCCCCCAGTGGAGGCCCAGTCTCGCTTCCCGCCGTGCCGTGACCTGCAGCTTCTGGACGTTACTTCCCACTTGGGTTCATGTACGTGTTTGTAAGCACAGACCGCGCCGGGGGCCCCTCCCAGAGCCGGCATTCCCGTCCCGTGATGCGTGCTAGTGTTCAGCCAGCCAGCCTGGGGTCTGGGAGAGTGGTATTCTTAGGAGCGTAAGCATAACAGGTAAGTGTCACGTATCAAACGTTGCCTGAGTGTGATTTCCGCGTCGTTGTTGTTGGACCCGCTGAGCGGCGTTAACTCCGTTATGGGCTAATTACATGGTGCCTTTTGTTCCTCCTTTTCTTGCTTTTTCTTTCTGCTTCGCAAGCATTTGTAACTTTGCTCGTGCTTGCTACATTCCTATAGCAGAGGGAACCATTTTTCACTCTTCCTTAACCTCCGTTAGCTTGAAAAGTAATAAATTAATCTTTCTTTGTTCAAGAAACATGAATCTTGACTGTACCGGGAGGTTCACATGAGAAACACGTAAGGACGCTTTTTCTCAGGACACTGAAGTAACTCGTTTTCTTCTAATCTGCATCACTTTCCCTTTGCCTCTCAGAGTCTATGGCCCAGCAGAGTCTCAGAGAGCAGTATTTGAAGACGTGTGCCCCCTGCTCACGTCCTTCCTAGACGGGTGAGTGAAGACGTCTTCAAGGTCGATTATCACCGTCACGTGTAAATGTCAGTGGGTTTCACTTGAGCTGCAGGCTGAGAGGTTGGCATCCGCGTCTGAGCGTCTGCTGTGAGTGTGGAGCAGGCCCGTGGCCTGGGGTGGCTGAGGGCCCGTGGCGGGGAAGGAGGAAGCATGGTGCGAGGAACAATTGTTAGGTGAGCACGGGCACCTTGGGTGCAGGTGGTACTTCAGGTGCGTGATGTGCAGACCTCAGGCTGAGGGGGCAGCCGCTTCCTCCTCTCTGGGATTCCTGGCACATCCTGGATTTTCTAAAGCCTGTTAAGGATGTTGACACCCGACCGGGGGGCTTGTCCCGTTGGGAACGAGCCTTCCACCCCTGGAACCGACTCCTGCTTTCTAAGGCAGTGGTTGTAACCAAGGAATGAAAGTCACTTTTTAGCAATCAAGTGAACAGGTCTGGGACTTAACTAAGACACAGCCAGGACTTTCCACTTCAGGGTGACTTGAAGAGTATGGTTTGGTTGGAGGTGCCGACATCAAGCGTCCTGAGAAGGCGTGTTTGTGTTTGCCCAGCAGAGGCTGCAGCCAGCTGGGAGCTGTAATTACAGCGCTGCGCTCCAGCCACAGGGCTCGGGCGTCTGACATCACGGGTGCGGCTGGGGCTCGTGACCCCAGAGGTCGGGTCAGCAGGGGGCGCGTGTCGCTCTCTGCACACACCCACATGCCCACCCCTGCCCCCGCCGGCTACGATCAAGTCTCTGCCTCAACTCTGCTTCCAGGATACTGGGATTTTTATATCCACCCAAGAAAATTCTTCCAGTGGAAATGATAGGAGATTCTCTCTTTTTTTAAAGTAGGCATCTCTGCAGGAAGCAGATTCCAGAAATAAAAAGTGGCATCGTGGTTAAGATGATCGCTGCCCGAGCTGCTTTTCCACTACAAATACGAAACAGATGGCATTTTTTCAGTCCCGGCTGCCTTCTTCCTACACTCGGAGGTGGTTTGAAAGATCCCGGTAAAGGCTAATTTGTCCTCTGCAGTCAGACATCCCCCCCGGCCCCCGCCCACCAAATACCTCCACGTCTCAGGGAGGGCGTAAGAGCTGCATTGCTGGAGATTTTGTTATAAGTGCTCTGAGACCTTTTACTTCTGGAAGGAAAAACATGCGGGGTGGTAGCTGAGGGGCCTGGATGGGTTTTTGCCCCCCATGTGGTTTCCATCTTCTTTTTGTTTGAATGGAACAGCCTACCTTGGGGTCAGGCCTCCTGGATCTCCGGGGCTTCTGTATCCTGCTCGAGGTGTGAACCCATCAGATACTGTCCAGGGCCATGTTGTCAGAGTGACACCCTGGTTTGACCGGGGGACAGAGGTGGCGGTACCTGGGTTAAACAGTCTGATTAGAATCAGAATCTCCAAGGGCAGGGCCTCTGCTTGGATCTTAATCTCCCAGGTGACAGTAAGAGGGGATGGTTGGGCTCAGCCTCAGCCGCCCGTGGGCCAGGCTCACCTGCACCTTCACGGCCAAGATTATCAGTGTATGTTGTAAACCTCTTTCAAATACTCTTCAATGTTCTGCATCTTCTCACTGACGTTTTGGACTAAATAGCACAACTGGGGAAAATTCAGGGACCCTCCAGGGTCCTTGTCTTCTGTGAAGTGAGTTGCACTAAAATAACCCCAAACTGTGGGACCGCAGGGGGCTGGGGGGCTGGGGGGGCGTCCGCACAGTCTGGCTGAAATGAACACCCCGAGCCCTTGGAGAAACAGAGTGAGAGAACGCGCTACAGCCTTAAGCGTGTCCTGGTCGGCAGTGCCAGCGATCATAAACGTGATGGGGAGGTGGTTTCCAAACAGCGAGAGAAAATACGGGCACTGTTTTATCATTTCACACACGCTTTACTTAGCCTGATGTTCTGAAGAGGAACTCCCTTCAGGCAACCCCGACACCAAGCTGAGTGTTGGGATGAGTGGGATCTAGGAGCCTGGCTCAGGCTGGGGTCCCAGCAGGGTCGCCCCTGAGGGGCGGGGGGACACCGAGGAGAAGTGGGCGTCACTGAGCCGCGCGTGTGTGTAAACGTGGATGTGGCTTAATCCAGCGTGTGACCGAACAGCGCGGGTGGACTGTGCAGAAGCAGCGGTAGTCGCCGACGGCTGGTTTCCAGGGCCTCGAAGTGGAGTGCGTTAAGGCTTCTCACCCCAGGGAACGGTCTCTCAGCACCAGGCGCGGCGCCAGACCTGCGTGTTCTCTGCACTGAAGTCTGGCTTGGATTTCAGGTACGACGTGTGCATCATGGCCTACGGGCAGACGGGGAGCGGGAAGAGCTTCACCATGCTGGGCCCGCGTCCCGAGCAGGACCCGGCCCTGCCGTCAGGACCCCACGGTCACCTAGGAATCATCCCCAGAGCCGCTGGAGAAGTCTTCAGGTACCGAGGCGGGGCAGTGGGGGAGCCTGGCGTCGGTGGGCGCCTCTTCCCTGGGGCGGGATTTTGGGGTTTTGCGCTGAGTGTGTAGTATCTTTGTTTTCAAACTGGTCTACAGTCTGCATGTTGTATTTTAAAACTTGAAGCAAAATAAGACATGTAGTTGTTTTCCTGAGAGCCCGGGTGGGTTTTAAAGAGGTCATGGTCAGGCTTTAGTCGGAAGGCGTTATTCGGATGGAATTGACTCAGTCCTCCCTAAAACGGAACAAGTTTTAAAACAAACAAGCGCGGTTACTGGGACGGCTCTCAGGGTCTTTGCGGTCCGCTCTGGGCTTCCGTGCGGGCATCGCGCTCGGCATGGTGACTTCTGAGTCACGGCTGTGCGGCCTCCAAGCCTCTTTACCCAGTACGTTTGGAATGAGAAGGGTACCGATGGCCGAAATCGTTGACTTAGACGTAACTCAGATAAAATAACTTTGTTCCCAGGACAGTGATTTACTCTGCAGTTTAAAGAGGATAGATGAGGAGTTTGGGATGAACAGATACGTATTACTGTGTACAAAACAGGTAGACAACAAGGACCTACCGGTAGCACAGGGAACTATATTCAGTTTCTTGTAATGAGCTGTAATGGAAAAGAATATGAAAAAGTATACGTATATATGAATGTGTATGTGTAAATGAATCGCTTTGCTGTACACCTGAAACTAACGTTGTAAGTCGACTACACTTCAGTTAAAAAGTAAGAATTAAAACAAGCAACGAGGGTGCCCCTTCCTCCTGCAAGGCCTTGGTCAGTGAGATGCTGCCCGGTGCCGCTGGGCCACGAGTTCTGCTGAGCGTTTTCTAGCACTGCAGTCCCCTCGCGTTCAAAGCCAGTTGATTAACCACTTTCTCTGCGGGGTCATCTGAGCTCCCCTGGTGGCTGAGTCTCTTGTGTGTCCCTCCCCACCCCTCCTCCAGGCTTCTTGCAGAAAACCCCTCCAGGCGCCCGGAGGTGGACGTTTCCGTAGTGGAAGTTTATAATAACGACATTTGTGACCTTCTGGCCAAAGACAGCTGTGCTGTGGTGTCCAGGGCGAAGTGCCAGGTGCTGACAACCACGGAGGGAAGGAAGGAGGTCTCTGGGCTGACCCGAGAGTGAGTAGTCCAGGTGCCACGCTCCCGGGCAGCGGCACCTCCGGGGGCCCCAGGGAGCCGGCCGCCTGAGCCGGCGCTCCTCGAGAGGCGGCTCCTGGGGTCGCGCTGCGGAGTGTGCGCGTTGCAGCTTTCAGTTCGCTTTCTGCTGTGTGTTTTTTCTAATGGAGGCGCTGGGGATCGAACCTAGAACCTCATGCATGCTGCGCACGTGCTCTGCTGCTGAGCTGTTCTCACCCCCCTGGAGATGACCTCTGTAAAATCACAAGCACCACAGACTAGTTGCTCCGTCAGAAGCTCTCCTTTAAGGGTCGATGGGACAGGTGTTATCCCCGCAGCCCGGCTGATGAGACAGCTGTGGCGAAGTCACACTGTGTGCCCCGGGGGACGCGGCTGAGCACAGGCGTCCTTGCTTCCCACCTGTGATGTCCAGGTTTCACAGAATACGCCCCTGAATCACCCTGTGAGAAACCACAGCTCCTGTGCTGATTCGATACACTCCTTGGAGTTCTGTGTCCTTAAATCCGCCCTTGTGGGTCAGCTTTGCCGCAAGCAGGGACCGCCTGACGACAGCACAGGGAGGAGCTGCACGGCCTGTCCCGGGGTCTCGGGGTCCCACAGACTGATGGTAACATTTGAGAAAACCTCAGGGAACTCATGCGTTTCGCCGTGAGAGTTTATGCACGTTAACCAAAGCTGTCAGCTTCTGACTGATGGACGGCGGGACCGAAGTCCTGCCTCCTGCAGGCCCGGAGCTCTGACTGGCTGTCATGGCTCATCGATTAACGCAGGAAAGCAACTTAAATGTTGATTTCCTGCATTTGATGAAATTTGACTTGATAGACAAAATATTTAAAAGTCTTGGGGTCCTGAGGGGACTGTAAATAAGAGAATCCCCAAGTTGAAAACTCTGGGGTCTCCACTTGGTCCCAGAGCAGCTGATTATGTCCGGGCAAAGCGGTTAGGGACGCAGCTAGTCAGTCAGGCCTCATGAAACTGCAACGTTTGATTCAGCGTGTTGAATTTTGTCTAAGAGCTGCTTTCCTGAGCAGGGTACACTCAGTTTGTACAAGGGGTTTCTGTGAGGCGGGTGCCCTCTGCCGTCACTGGGACTTCTGTGTCCCCTCTGCCAGGTCTGTCCAGAGTGCCGTGGAGCTGATGACGCTCGTGGCTGCAGCTCTGCGGCTCCGGACCAAGCAGGCCACCGCAGTGCATGCTGATTCGTCCAGGTCTCACCTGGTGATCACGGTGACTTTGACTGCAGCCGCCTCCTCCTGCAGCACCGGTGAGTGGCCCCAGTGCCCGGTCAGTTGCCCAAATAGAAATCTACACGAGAAGAAAAGGATCGTGGACGTGCAGGCTCTGAGGCACCATGCGGGACCGAGGGAGGAATGGCAGTCACGTGGTTGGACGGTCTGGAACCCAAACCCAAGAGCCATGGGGATCTGGGCTGAGAAGAAAGGGTGGTGGGTGGGATGGAGGAAGGCGCTTTGCTACATCAGATGCATGTTTTCACTTTGGAACCTGACGCGATCACCAGGAGTGACACTCTCTTTGTGGCTGAGGTTAGAAGGTTACAGACCAGTGTATGAGATGATTCCTGTTACGGGAGAGTCGGGGTTCCTGGGGCTTTATGGGTCAGAAAGTCCAGGGCAGTGCACGTCAGGCCACCTGGGGCAGTGGGAGCTCAGACGCCACCCACTGTGATCGGGCCCCGTCACCTCCCAGTACCTCCAGGGTGAGGTCTGGGGCCTCAGCCTTGCTCTCAGTGACGCAGACCGCAGGGCAGCCCTGGGCCCCGGGGGCTTTAACCCTAGAAAGGCCCCCTCAGGCCAGTGGGGCTAACACTCAGTCCGCCTTGT